GTACGTGACTTTCTTCGCAGCTCAAAAAGTAAGAATCGAATGTGAAGCTCGTTAAATGAGTTTTGTTGGGCAAAAAAGGACTTTCTATAAAAAATATGAGAAATGAATGTTAGAAAAAATCACGGTAAATAATAAAACAATATTGTTGCAAACATGGCATTAGCCAACCGGATTCCAAAAGTTTAAAATTTTGGGTTATCTAACCCGATCGGGTATCTGTCATCCGCCTAAAAGCTCAGAGACGACAGAGAATCAGCATTGCCTATTTGATTGGAAAATTGCCCACTGGGGTTTAATGTCTTGGTGACAACAAAAAATCACATTTATCTGTGCAATAGCGCCTCATAGTAGAGATACGAGGGGTGGAGGTGAGGAGTGTATTCCTTTGTAAGTTTTGAAAATGGTTATTCAATACGTTCAAACGAAATATGATTTCATGATCGCGTCCTGTTATAGAGATACAAAGAGATGATAGAAATACCTTTCTTATTTTAACCTAAGTTCTTAATTAAAGGACCCTTGATTTCTATACGGACTCCAAATCACTTTTCATACAAACCTAATATAATGCCAGCCAAACATCGTGTTATAGATGTGCTATCTTGTGTACCAAGACAGACCCCGTTGGACCACTTTTAGCTAAGTCGGTAATTTTAGCTCTTCCGCCCACCCACCGTACGAGTAGAGAACTCTATCTCCAGTCCGCTCTTTAAATGCGAACTACAGCTCCATTTCACAATTGTAATTTGTGACTTATGAAGCTAACTCGTCATTAAAATGAGAGTTTTGGGATAGACTAATAAGGACAGATGTCATATTGCCCACTTTAAGGAAAAACTTCTTATTAGCCTTAATGCTAGAATAGTGGTTTTTAACTTGTTGACTACAAATTTAAGAAAAAAACTAGATAGCGCAGTTCAGATGTTCAAATTTTTGATTCCTGCTTTGCAGGAAGCGATACTTGAAGTGAAGCACGACTTGCACACTCCCGAACCCTCCACAGGATAAGAAGTGCCATTGTTAGAAAGAAGAGGTGCATGTCCAGACTTGTTGAACATCGGTTAATAGTAGTTGGCGAATTCTCTCAGAAATAAAGGTGATGGAAACAATGAGGAGGTTAGAGCGAAAAATGCTACTGGTAGCAGGGTAAAATCTCTAGCAGTAAAATGGAATTTTTGTGTAGAAGGTGACAAAAAGCGCTGTTAGAAATCCTTCTGAATAGACTA